GGGGGTTTGGAACATAAATATATATCATGGACTTCTACAAGGAGGTATGGTAGCATGCAATGCTACACGTGTGTATACGTGGGCCCAATCTATTGGCTGAAACTTTTAACAGCTATAACTCCCTTGGTTTTAAACCCAAAACAGGATGTGATTTGGAGCATAAATATAAATGGACTTCTACAAGAAGGTATGGTCCCCATGCACAAGCATACATGTGCTTGTACGTGCGCTGCAATCTGATTGGCTGAAACTTTAAACAGTTTTAACTGCCTTGGTTTTCAACAAAACGGGTTGGGATTTAGAACATAGATAGATGTAATGAACTCCTACAAGGAGGTATGGTCACCATGCTCATGTATGCACGTGTGTGCACGTAAAATGGGTACTTTGTAAAATAAAAAATACACTTGAATAAGCGTTTTTTTTATATAAAACTTTTGAATTAAATACTTTAATATTAAGCATATTAAAATATATATATAGTGTAGACAATATGATATGGTCATTACGCACATGCATTCACATGTGCACGCGCGCAATGCAAAAATTTTAATGAACGGGGTTTGTTAAGTTAAAATGAAGATTTTGCCTTTTTAATGAAGCTTACGGGGAAAGGGCCCCAAAAGGGGAGTTGGGGGGGTTTGGGGAAACGGTAACCTTTAAAATTAGCACTAGTTATTATTATTATTATTTTTCTTCTCGGGAAAATTTTGTCCGCGAATGATCTTGTAAAGTACACATCCGATTAAGGGGAAACCTTTTTAGGGTAAGTAGACATGTTATGTAGATTTGCGGAACGAAGGTCATTTTGCGCGCACGTGCTTGCAAGAGCGCGCACGTGCAACACGTGAATTGACCAATATACTTGAAATTGCCGTAACTTTTACATTTTTTGATGTAATGCTTTGATATTTAGAATATATAGACATATCATAAATGTAGAGAAGACTACATTGTCAACATGCCATTTTGCGCGCACGTGCTTGCAAGAGCGCGCACGTGCAACACGTGAAATGACCAATATAATGGATATAGCCGTAACTTTTCTATTTTTTGATGAAATCTTTTGAAATTTATAATGTAAGGATATATTAGTAGCCTAGACAAGATGATATGGTCAAAATAGCAAGATCTCACGTGCATGCACGTGCGCTGCGATCTGATTGGCTGAAACTTGAAATAGCTATAACTCCCTTGATTTTCAACCAAACAGAATGGAATTTGGAACATAGATAGATATAATGGACTTCTACAAGAAGGTATGGTCACCATGCACATGCTTACACGTGCGTGCACCTGCACTGTAATTTGATTGGCTTAAACTTTAAACAGTCATAACTCCCTTGGTTAACAACCAAACGGGATGGGATTTAGAACATAGATAGATGTAATGGACTTCTACAAGAAGGTATGGTCACCATGCTCATGTATGCACGTGCGTGCACGTGAAAAGAGTAAAATAAAAAATACACTTGAAAGAGCGTGTTTTTTAATACTTTTGGATTAAATACTTTCATTTGTAGTATATTAAAATATATAGATTGTGTAGACAAGGTGATATGGTCATTACACACATGCATTCACATGCGCACGCGTGCAATGCTTAAATTTGAACGAACTTGGTACACAAGGGGAATTGGGGAGCGTTTGGGGAACATCTGTAACGGTCCCCGTTACAATTAGCACTAGTTTGACTTAGAATCACGTCGTAAGGAGTTGATCCTACCTACTGCCGCTGGTTCAAATCGAAGTGCGGGACATGGATATACGTAGGTTATTCGGAATAAGACTGCATAAACTGAGTATCGCAATAAGTGCCGGCACAAAAGAATCCATTCATTGCTTAATGACAATGAGTGCCGAGTGTACATGTAGATATTAAAAAATAGAAGAAATCAAACTACAAAAGTGTAATTTCTTCTTGCCATGATAGAATGTATGACTTTACTTGATGACAGTAAAAATTTTACTTAGTTAATTTAATTATGATATATACCAATGTCATTAATTTTTAGAAATAGTTTGGGAGTGTTTCCTTTAACTCGATAATTAGTTATCTCGACGCCGTATTGTCAGTTAAAAATGTGTTTTTCCCGTTCCTATGTCCAAATGATATATTCCATTGAGCTTGAGAGAAAAAGATACCACAAAGTCTGACACATCTGTTTCATATTTGGATAAACTTATATTTGGATAATTTACTGTTTCATATTTGGATAATTTACTTCAAACATTTAAAGACATTAATGGTAATCTAACAACCAAGCTTTGTGATAAACGTGATGACTTTAACCTTTTATTCGTCAATTTCCCTTACATATACAGCAATATACGTTCAAAATATACCTGTTTATCTCTCAGTTGATTCGATACCCAAGAGCATGCACTACATACGTACTATTTTTGAATGAGATAATTTATTGACAAAAAAATGAAACAACATATCTGCAGTCTCGTTTAAAGTCATCACTTTGTAAGTTTTATGGTCGATACAATGACATTTCAGCGAATATAATTGAGTCAAATGCTGAATGTCGTTTTTCATCTAACAATCTAACAACCGAACTCTATGATAAACGTGATGAATTCAACTTTTCCATCGTCAACTTCCCTTACTTAAGCAGTAATATACCTTCATCACCTGCATACGGAGTGTATATATCACAGTTGATTCAATACGCAAGAGCATGCTCTACGTATGGACAGCTTCTAAGTCATCATTTCGTAAGTTCTATGGTGGATACATATATATATTTAGTCAAATGCTGAGTGACGTTTTTTATACTAATTTTTAGTCCATTTATTATACACTGAATTGACTACCGTTTTTTTTCGTTATTTCCTTATCATGACAGGGAGCACATGGCGGGTGTGACCGTTCGGCAGGGATGCTCACTCCTCCATATGACACCTGATCCCATCTCTGACGTCTTGGAGGTCCGTGTTTGCTCTGTTCCTATTTTTAATTGTTTAGATGGACTTTGATATCGAATACTGTTCGTTAACTCAATATCCTTTATTGATTGTAAGGCCATTATTTATACACTGAATTGACGACGTTTTTCGTTATTCCCCAGTCATGACAAGGAGCACACGACGAATGTGTACGCTCGGTAAGGGGTGTTCACTTCTCCAGGGCACCTGATCCCACCTCTGATGTTTTGGAGGTCCATGTTTTATGAACTTTTCAGCCTGAATACTGTTCGTTATCTAGATATATTTTATTCAAATATATTTATTTTGTTAACAAACTTTTGTAAGAATCGGAGAAGTAAATACACGACAATAGTAAACTATATATGATATAGCTTTTTTCGACAGGGTAAATTCATTTTTTAAAAAGTCAATGTTATTACCTAACCTGTAATTGTAATTAGGCATTTTGAACTGTTTCCTGGTTCATTTTTATGTTTTTCGCATATCATGCAACAGTCAAAACTGTTTACCCGGTCACAGAATGAACTGTTGCATGTCTGTAGTAATCCATTATGACGTCATGATTAATTTCCCGTACTTTACATTTATACTGAAATATGTATAAATTGAAGCATTTTGATGGTTTTAAATTTGAAATTATCATTTGAAAGAGAAAACTAAATACTCACAAGTGTATTCAATTTGATATCATTTTAAAGAAGAGGCCAAGAACATCTTTTCTGAGGGTAATTATAGAAAACTGTAGGCTCCTTTCACTCACTAGAGCTTTCGCTTTTAAAACGTCAGTGTGTTATATTCAAACCTTCAAGTCATCTTAGGGTTTTTTTTCTTTTACAAAACAATACATACATGCATCAATATTTATTAGGGCATGCATGATAACACAAGAAATGCAAAGTTTTGTCGATTTGTCAATTTCATTACTTTAAGAAATTGTATAGTAGGTTAAGTAATAAAACACTTATTTCATGTAACTCGGAAACAGTTAAACAGTTGTCCCTCGATAATGGGGAAGACCTGAAAAACTGTTGCCCTCGGTCTTTGGCCTCGGACAACAGTTTTCCAGATCTTCCCCCATTACCTTGGAACAACATTTTGACTATTCCCCTCGTAGTCATGAAATAAACTTTATATAAAGCCTGAGAGCTTGGTTATGTTTCTTGAAGTGCTGGATTGGGTAGAACAGGTACCTTCATAGCCTTAGACGCCCTCTACCGGCACGGTTTGGAATCAGGATCTGTAAATGTGTCTGAATATGTCACTCAAATGCGAGATGACAGAATGAATATGGTACAAGGAGAGGTAAGTGAATATAATTTTTTTATAATTTATATAATAGTATTTCGTCAATCTTGAAAAAAAAATATCAGGAATTTGATGATTAAAATCTTGTTAACTTGTTATTTTGTTATTTAAGAAGAAGGATTTTGGTTCATCAGTATTATTTTTTGTGTTTTCTGTATCATTATTTCCTAATGTCCCTATGAATCTAATATACAATCATAAATAATCTCGTTGTAGGATCAGTACAAAATGATTTACACTGCTTTGTATGAATCATTCAGAGGACACCTTCGCCCAGTTACGGATAAATTATTTCTGTCAGACCACCAGACTTTAAATTCTAAACATCAAGAAGATGAAATTAAAAAAGAACAAGAGGCTGATGATTTTAAGGTTTTTTTTTAATATTTACATTTAATTATTTGTGTTATGAAGTATTTTGAAAAAAAAATTAATATGTCAATGTCATGTCAGGTGATGTGTGTGTTTGTGTTTAATGGATATGGCTTTTATTGTTTATTCTAATTTACCCTTAATCAAACATTTGGGGACGTATCGTTTTAATTTATTCTGTCCACTTACCTTTCTGTCTTGCTGGGGTCTTAATGATGTCATGCAGAATATTCTAACTTGACTCAATCAGCGATACATATGACGACATAGTATGCGATATGACGTCAATTATAGAACACAAGTCTCCTTGATATTTGTAATCAGAGAACTTTTAATTTTCTAGGAAACATTGAGGCTATTCTGGGCCCTTAATGTCCTTACTTCTTTAGTTCACAAAAATGAATACAAACATGTAAACATTAACAAAATTAAAATGTTTTTAGTTTGTTGTGCTGTATCTGTCATTTGGGTTAGTCGCCCGCTTGGCGCAATGGTTAGAGCGTCTGCTCTAGAGTCGCGAATTTAGGAGTTATTCTTTACGTCGCGGGTTCGAATCTCAATGTGGGACGTGGAGACCTGTCATTTGGATGAAACCGTATAAACCGGGGTCCCGTGTCGCAGTAGGTGTTGGCACGATAAAGATACCTCCCTGCTAAATGGACTTAAGTGTCGAGTATAGGACAAAATTTGCAGCTCTCCACCGTCAGTTGGTGGCGTCTCCATCTGAGTGAAACATTCTCGAGAGGGACGTTAAACAATATTCAATCAATCAATCATTTGGGTTACGACCGATGACGTCATAAGTTAACATCAAGTTACTTGGGAATTAACGATGTTGTGTACAGATATTTTGTCTTCGACGACATACAACTGTATACAAAGATACGTTAAAGGGGGGTTAGAAGCAAATATCGTGAATATTATGTGGATTTCATACGGAGATAAAGTTTATTACACAGGTATGCTAATTTATTTTCATCGATTATATTTTCTTTCAAAGACAGTCAGCTATTTACGGATCACGGTCGGTCTCTCCTCTGTCATTCGTGACAAAAATAATACAAAAGAACAACAGTAAGCTGGATATTTCAAAACATAAGTTTTTAAAGATTGTAGGCCTGTCTTCCATAATACTTGGAAAGTGCGGCTAGATTCCCGAGGTAAACATGGTTTTACGGAAAATCTCGGGTTATATGTTTGAAGTTCAAAACATCAAGTACGGTTTCGTGCAAATGCCTGGTATAATTATTTTACTGACCGGACAGCGGGAGTCTAGCAGCACTTTTTAGGCATAATAGATGTTTATTAACTACATGTATATTATTTACTCAAAAAATTAATTAACTCTGGGGTACTGTTGTTCTGTTAGCTTTTTTTTTTAAGGAACATTTCACTTTAAATAGAGGACACGTGATGACAGGGTGGTGGTGCACGTATTTGCTTTAGACACTCTTAGCTTTGTTCAATAGTTTATTATAGTTAATGTTTTTTTCTGCGGCTTTGGTAGATTGTCAAACTAAACTTTCTTTAAAAAGTTTTAATTTCCCGAGAAATCAGTTAAATGCTTCCTTAACATACCTGCGCTGTCTTATGTCTGCAAAAACTCCAACATTGATTATAATTTTTGATCAGTTATATAAACATGGTTTTCATAGCTCAAATATATATTCTTCGTGACAAGACTTTTCTTTTGATAACAACTATCCTGACTTCTTTACCTCTGAGTTTGACAAACGTTTGCATAATTCAAACATTTGACCTTTATCATAAATTTTGATCAATTGGTGATAGGGCTTTCATACTATATTTTTTGTAATTTTGTTAATAACTTTCACTTGGCCATAAAGGATTTTTTTTTTTACTTTGAGCTAGGAATTCGACCTTCTTTTAAAACAAACTTTAACTTTCGTGGCATGATTTTTGAATAGTTAAAATTAAGGTGTTTGGTTATCACGGCATTTTCTAATTTCTTGTTCAAAACATTTGAAAGGATACCGAGTATTTTGGCTTTTGATCGCCACCTAGGAAATTGAGCCTCTGTCTTTTTCCTTGGAGTTTTATCTTCTTTCTTTAAATAGAAGTTTAACAAAGCTATAACATTTGAACAGGATTTTATATTTCATTTTTTTGGGGGTGATAAAACCTTTTCTTGGATGCTAAAAAAAAATGACTTTTTTTTTAAAATATACCTCATCTATTCCTTTTTCGTCGGTGTGTGAGGGTTGGAATGCGTATCCCTAATGAAAATGCAGTTTCCATTTATTTTGAATGTTTAACATTGCATGACTTTATTGCTTGCCTTTCTTTTCAGAAAACATTCAATGCCGTTTTAACTTCTCAATGATTGGTGTATGGTCTTGCAAATTTTACAGTTTAATTCCGTATTTTATCGATAAAAGACCTTGCATCCTTTTGATTTATTTAAAATATATCTGGAAAAATCCAAGATTCCTAACATAAAAGATTTTCAAAGAGGTTATTCTGAAAGCAATCAGTTTTTAAAAATTTAATCATCTAACTCGATTTTCCAGGAGCTCGAATCACTCAAAATACAGTACGATAAAACTGAAAAATCTGCACAGAACAATGCTGCATCTAATTTTACACCAACTGTTATGCCAGGTAAAAGAAATTCTGTTTCTTTTAAAAACTTTTTTTGTTATTGCATGTAACGTATTGATATCTGAATACTTTTAAAATGACCAAAAATAATAAATTCAATATTTTAAAAAATATATATTTAAATAGTTGAGAAATATAGATGTCATGTGCTCTCTGACGATGGTGAACCGGTTTACTACAACGCTGTCATTCTTCAGGTTTGCAAATATGAATTTCTGTGTTGATGTCAAAAGAATTTTTATATATTGCAAAACAACTTTAACCGCAATTCTCTATTGTTTTATTTCTAATAGTCATTCACGAAACCCGATGGTCTTATCAGTGCCCAGTATCCACTTGAGGACCAGTGTGAAGATTTCCTGTATCTTGTAAAAGAGAGCAGACCTGGTACTGTAGTTTTTCTTGGGCGGCTTGAAGATATTCCCTCGGTATGTATAAACATGTATATCATGAATCATGTAACTCCGAAAGCTATGTCTTAACCTTATTTCACTTTTATGTATTTATCAAAAACAATCTTGTCAATTTGAAATCTTATTCAAATGTTGAAATGATTTATAACCAATATATAAAACTGACTCTCTTTCTTCTAAGATATTTGGTTTCCAAATACAGTAAAGAAAATATAGATTTACTTGCCCATGGTTGAAATAAGGTATGCATGCGAAGTGGAGTTTGAATTGTTGGAATGTCTCATAAGGTTTCACCAAAGGTCAACATGTCCGAATATATCACAATATAGGTGGTGCACGAGAGAGATCCCTCACTGTTCAATGGTCGTAACTGTCGTATAGGTGGTTAGAATTTCTAGCCCTCAACCAGCAAGTTTCTGGCGTCTCCATATAAGTGAAAATTTCTCTTGAGGGACGTTAAACATCAAAAATCAATCAATCTTTTTTTAAACAAAAATGCTGTACACTGGATGTTGACTTTTTTCAATTGAGAAGAAAAAAAAATAGATTTGAAGGCTTGTTTTCTTTCAAAAAGTTTAACCCGTCCTTATCCGACCCTGACCTCATCCTTTTTTTGAAAACATATACATGTAGTTATTTTATTTTTTTATGTTATTGATACCTTGTAAATTTATCCTAGACAAAGATCTGGTTTCCATCAAAGAATAATTGCAAGGCTGTTGGAAAATTTACAATAAAAATGACAAAGTGTATCCCTTCAGCTGAAGTCACCAAAACTAATATCATTATTCAGGGAAAGGTAATATCTCTCTCTCTCTCTCTCTCTCTCTCTCTCTCTCTCTCTCTCTCTCTCTCTCTCTTGCACAATACATCTTTTTTGACATGTAAATTTTTACGTAGTGATATTTACTTAAACGAATATTCGTTCCTATTGTTTCAGGGCTTCAAGGACATCCCTTTATCTGTTTTGGAATGCAACTTTTGGAAAGGTGATGCTTTAACTGCCGATTGTAAGAAAGTAGTAGAGGCAATCAAGGAAACAAGACTGGAAGAATCGACACATTCAAACAAAAGAACAATTGTCTTCTCAAGGTATATATATCCCAAACCTTTAAAATATAGACCCCGCAAATAGAACTTTAATTAGTTTTTTTTTTTTGTCCTCTGTTTATGAAATTTCATTTCTATGAAAAGACCTATGCTGCATTGCTGAGTTTCATTCTGGTAAATATGGTACATAAAATAATGTATATTTGTATACAACTACAAAGTCTTGAAAATATATAAAAAATTTGATGGTTTCATTTTTTTGTTGGAAAACGAAATATATACTGTAGATGTACTTTTTTTCCATGGGGTCATAATTCCGCGGAATCTCAATTTTTGTTTAATCCGCGGGTAGAGAATTACGCGGATTTCTCGGACTGTCATTATTCTTATATCTATATTAAGTGCGCTTGGACAAATTTCTGCGGAAAATTTGTGACCGCGTACTTAGCGTAATTAATACCACGCGGAGAAAAGTACTTCTACAGTATTTCTTTCATTCAATTTGCCAATCTGCATCGTCAATATTTTCCTATCACTTTTTCAAGGCATAAATTCGTACTAGATTCAGTAATATTTTGCTTATAAGCAATGAATACTATACGGAATACCCGTAATCTTTATAGATTGTAAGAAAATTTTTCTAACTATAAGATTGAAAAAAAACATTGACCCTGGTAATTATGTTCCCCAAACGAAGTTGGGGAACGTATTGTTTTTACTCTGTTTCTTATTATTATTAAGGTCTTCCGTTTCAGACGGAAGACCTTATAGTGATTCTACTGTTTCTTTTTATTATTAAGGTCTTCCGTCTTCACGGAAGACCTTATAGTGATTCTATTGTTTCTTATTATTATTATTATTATCATTATTATTATTATTATTTTTCCGTACACCGAATTTTGTGCACGCGATTTCTCGAAGACTACTTGGTGGATTTTCATGAAATTTACAGAAATTATGTGTTATTATCTGAAGTTATTTTTTCCGAGAGATTTTTTGAAAATTTGCTTCTGGTGCCAAGTTACGGGATATTTTCTGAATTTAAAATGACATTTTGTCTACGGTTAAACTCAAGAACGGTAGAAGATATAAATGTGAAACTTTCAGGGATTATAGATCGTGATATATACTATCCAGGACGCGACCTTTCGTTCGTCGTCATTACTTCCTGTCGTTAGGAGAAACGAAGTAAAAAAATTGTATTTTCTAACTTTTTTGTTTTTCAATATTTTTTATTTATTTTTGGAATACTAATAGAGACCCTTCTATTGATGCTTACTATTTACGTTGTTTGAATATTGGTTAATCTGAACTCTAGATATGAATATTTGAAAATCTGAAGCGGGCCCAAGATGGCGTCTGCCTCTGTCAACTCCGCCATTTCGCGAGTAGGGGTTTATGGAGGCAGCTGAGCGTTTGATTAAACCATTCAGACATAAGGATACATGAAATATAAAAAACTACTTGGACTTTCACGTAGTAGTACGTTGTAATTACGTATCAATCTTAAAACTTATTTTCCGTTTCACTGCTATAGTTTAACTGGGCTAGATACGATATGTAATGTGTACAATGTGTTAAATATACTTTCTTAACGTCGAAATAAAATAAAGGCCATAAGAACGTTTTATTTATTTAATTTCATTGAAGCTATCACACCTATTTAATAGATCAGTCCAAAGAAAAGGCGCGAATATTTACTCGTGGCGTTTGGCGCGTAATTATCAATAGTGGCCCACCTTTTATAATTCTTAGACAGGTGTACTGTTGCAAATGTATACACAAGTATATTTAGCGCAGTGCTCCCAATAGCTTAATGGTTTGCGCGTTAATAGATCACGTAGTAATTCGTTACAATTCTGTGTCAAACTAAAGATTTATTCCAGGGTCTTCTCAAACGTTTTCTGTAACTGGTTTTGGTTGGTTCTCAAAGTAGAAAAAGAAAAGACTAAATGTGCAAATGAGAGATATCTATATTATCATTTGTTTTGCAAATTGCAAGACGGAAAAACAGATCCTAAATCATAGTTTTAAGTTATAGTTTTTCAAGAAACAATATCGATGCATGTATAGAGTAAGTATAAAACGTATAACCACTGTTTTTCCCATGCACACTTGTGTGATATTAAACGAATAGAAAAGACAGAAATAAGAAAACCATTTTAATAAGATCGTAAAATGGAGTTTATATTAACATTCTTTTCTCTAAGATCTGAATCAAGTTGTTGAACATAAATGGTATCTAATTCCTTGACTGTCGTAGAGCGAGGCATGTTTTTCGGCGAAAAAATTCAACCATTTTATGAAAGTATAACTAATCGGCATAGTACATTTCTGAGACGGGATATCAAAAAAAATTAAAATTATAGTCATTTCACTGCTTTTGTGTTACTTTTCTATAGAATGTGTACAATGTGTTAAAAATATTTTCTAAACCTCGAAATGAGAACATTCTTTTTTCTTAATTTCATTGAAGCTATCACACCTATTTAATAGATCAGTCCAATGAAAAGGCGCGAAGATTTAACGTGGCGTTTGGTGCGAAATTATGAATAATGGCCTGTCTTTTATAATTCTTAGACAGGAGTACTGTAGCACAAGTACATTTAGAGCAGTACTCCCAATAGGGTAATGGTTAGCGCTTTGGGGATAAAAGGGGAAAAAACGGATGGGATTTTAACGCTGGAGACCTGGATTCAATTTGTGACCAGAATTTTTAATCACTTCTCAGCTCGACTTTACGAGTTTTTTTTCCAGAATCGGACGGAAGACCTCTCGTTGCTTGCAACGAGATCGTTTCTAGTTATTATTATTATTATTTTTTTTTTTCCCCCATTTGTTTTTGACGATTTCTCAGAGATGACTGGACGGATTCTCATGAAATTTTCAGAGATGATAGAGAGTCAAAATATCTTTCAAATGCAGTTTTCAGTTTTTCAAAATTCACTTCCGGTCGTCAGATATGTTCGATTTCCGTTTTTTTCGAACAAAGTTTTGTCCGAGTCATATCTCAGAAACGGTAAGAGATTAAGACACCAAACTTATATGAGTAATAGATCTTGATAAGTAGGCAAAACCAATTGGGTTAAGATCGTCCGTCGTCACTTCCGGTCGTCACAGGAAGTGATCAAAGAAATCGAAAATTTCAACTTTTCTTTAATGAAACTTTTTTTGCATCATATTATAGCATCTTATTTGTAGTTTCGAAATATATCAGTCCTACCGGAAACAAAAAACGACAACTTCCGGTTACGAGAGAAAAACTGCATATTTTCAGTATTTTTCTTTCCCATAAATATTTTTTATAGATAAAGTATTTGTAATGATTTTTGGATATGTTACTTAGAATGCAAATGACTACAGTAACGTCAAATATCTTTGTAAAATTCACTTCCGGTCGCGTGATTTCCTGTCCTCAAAATGATAAGTTATCATAGCTAGTTCTCGTAAACGGTAAGAGATTAGGACACCAAACTTATATAAATGGTAGATCATGATAAGTAGGCAAAAGCAATTGGGATAAGATCGTCCGCTGTCACTTCCGGTCGTCACAGGAAGTGATCCAAAAAATTAAAATTTTTAACTTTTCTTTCATGAAACATTTTTTGCATCATATTATAACATCTTATTTGTATTTTTGAAGTATATCAGTCCCACTGGAAACTAAAAGGACAACTTCCGGTTATAAGAGAAAAACTACATAATTTGAGTATTTTTCTTTCCCATAAATATTTTTTATACATAGAGTATTTGTAGTGATTTTTAGATATGTTATATAGACTGCTTATGTCTACAGTAACGTCAAATATCTTTGTAAAATTCACTTCCGGTCGCGTGATTTTCTGTCCTCAATAGGAGAAGTTATCACAAAGAGATCTTGGAAACGGTAAGAGATGGAGATGCCAAACTTTAATGAGTAATAGATCTTGATAAGTAGGCAAAAGAATTTGGGTTAACACAGTTTGCCGTCACTTCCGGTCGTCACAGGAAGTGATCAAAGAAATCGAAAATTTCAACTTTTCTTTTTTGAAACACAGCACAAAATAGTATCTTATTTGTGGTTTCGAAATATGTCAGTCCCACCGGAAACAAAAAATGACAACTTCCGGTTATTAGAGAAAAACTACATAATTTGAGTATTTTTCTTTCCCATAAATATTTTTTATAGATAAAGTATTTGTAATGATTTTTGGATATGTTATTCAGACTGCAAATGACTACATTAACGTCAAATATCTTTGTAAAATTCACTTCCGGTCGAGTGATTTCCTGTCCTCAAAATGAGAAGTTATCATAGGTAGATCTCGTAAACGGTAAGAGATTAAGACACCAAACTTAAATAAGTGGTAGATCTTGATAAGTAGGCCAATTCAATTGGGATAAGACCGTCAGCCGTTACTTCCGGTCGTCACAGGAAGTGATCTAAGAAATCGAAAATTTTAACTTTTCTTTAATGAAACTTTTTTTGCATCACATTATAGCATTTTATTTGTAGTTTCAAAATATATTAGTCTTAACGGAAATAACAACGACAACTTCCGGTTATAAGAGAAAAACTACAAAATTTTAGTATTTTTCTTTCCCATTTATACTTTTTATAGATAAAGTATTTGTAATGATTTTTGGATATGTTATGCAGACTGCAAACGTCTACAGTAATGTATAATATCTCGGTAAAATACACTTCCGGTTGCATGATTTCCTGTCCTCAAAATCAGAAGTTATCATAGCTAGATCTCGTAAACAGTTAAAGATTAAGACACCAAACTTATATGAGTAATAGATCTTGATTAGTAGGCAAAACCATTTGGGGTAAGATTGTCTGCCGTCACTTCCGGTCGTCATAGGAAGTGATCAAAGAAATCGAAAAAATCAACTTTTCTTTTTTGAAACTTGTTTTGCATCACATTATAGCATCTTATTTGAAGTTTCGAAATGTATCAGTCCCAACGGAAACAAAAATGACAACTTCCGGTTAAAAGAGAAAAACTACATAATTTGAGTATCTTTCTTTCCCTTAAAATTTTGTATAGTTAAAGTATTTGTAATGATTTTTAGAAATGTTATTCAGACTGCAAATGTCTACAGTAAAGTCTAATATCTCAGTAAAATTCACTTCCGGTCGCGTGACTTCCTGTCTTCAAAATCAGAAGTTATCATAGCGTTATCATATCTCGTTAACGGTAAGAGATTAAGACACCAAATTAATAGGGATGGTAGACCTTGATGAGTAGACATATCCTTTGAGTTTAAGATCGTCCGCCGTCACTTCCGTTTGTCACAGGAAGTTATCAAATAAATGAAAAATTTCAGCTTTTCTTTATGGAATCTTTCTAAGTAATACATTATAGCATCTTTTTTTGTAGTTTTGAAATATGTCAGTCCCACTGGAAACAGAAACGACAACTTCCGCTTATGAGAGAAAAACTGCAAAAATTTAGTATCATACTATCCCATAGATATTTTTTTTTTTATAAAAATATCATTTAAAATGATTTTTGGACGTGTTGTTCAGATTGACATGTCTAGAGTAACCTCAAATATCTTTTCAAAAATGTACTTCCGGTCATGTGATTTCTTCTCCTCAAAATGAGAAGATAATATTACGAGATCTCTTACATGTAACCTGTAACAGATCAAGACACAAAACTTATATGAATAATAAATCATGAAGATTGGGCAACAGATATAGGGTAAAATGCGTCCCCCATTACTTCCGGTCGTCACGGAAAGTGATGAAAAAAAATTGAAAATGATTTTTGTAAATGTTATTAAGACTATAATTGTAAAAAGTAACGTCGAGAATCTTGGTAAGTTACACCTCCGGTCGTTTGTTTTCCTGAAAGCATTTAGAATATTATATGCCTTTTTTAACATAGATAAAAGCTCATTCATGCACATAAATAGAGGAGAACGGAAGACCTTCTTTGTTGCTGTAGCAACAAGAGTTTCTAGTTATTCTTATTCTTATTTTTCTTCCTGGGAAAATTTTGTCCGCGAGTGATCTTGTAAACTACACATCCGACTTAGGTGAAACCTTTTTAGGGTAAGTAGGCATGTTATGTAGATTTGCGGAATCAAGGTCATTTTGCGCGCACGTGCTTGCAAGAGCGCGCACGTGCAAAACTTAAAATGGCCAATATATAATGGATATAACCGTAACTTCTCTTTTTTTTGACGAAATGTTTTGAAACTTATAATGTAAAGATATATTTGTAGTATGCACAAGCTGACATGGTCAAAATAGCAAGATCGCACGCTCATGCACGTGTGCTTCGCTCTGATTGGCTGAAACTAAAGTCTCAATATCTTTTTTGTTTTTCGATAAAATCATTTGAAATTTTGAACATAGTCATACATTAGGGAGATCTACAGTACTGTAATATAAAATTTTTCATGAAAGCATGTGCATGCACATGTGCTTGCAAGAGCTCGCACGTGCAACACGAGGAAGTCCAATATAATTGATACAGACGTAACTATTAAAATTATTGATGAAATGCTTTGAAACTCATTTTATAAGTATATATTAGTAGTATGCACAAGCTGACATGGTCAAAATAGCAAGATCGCACGTGCATGCACGTGTGCTTCGCTCTGATTGGCTGAAACTAAAGTCTCAATATCTTTCTTGTTTCTTGTCATAATCCTTTGAAATTTTGAACATAGACCTACATTATGAAGATCTACGGCATGATATATAAGAATTTTCATGAAAGCATGCGCATGCCCGCGTGCTGCAATCTGATTGGCTGAAACTTTAAATGGCTATATCTACTTTGTTTTTTGACGAAATGCTTTGAAATATAAAACATAGTCATGCAGTAGGATATCCTACAATATGATATAGAAAAAAAAATCATGAAATCACGCGCATGCACGTGTGCTGCAATCTGATTGGCTTAAACTTGAAATGGCTATAACTCCCTTGTTTTTCAACCAAACAGGATGGGATTTAGAATATAGATAGATGTAAGGGACTCCTACAAGAAGGTATGGTCATCATGCACGTGCACGCACGTGTGTGCATTTGGAACGAGTGAAATGAAAAATACATTTGAAAGAGTGATTTTTCATACTTTTGGACTGAATGCTTTAATATATTGTATATTAAAATATGTAGATAGTGTAGACAACATGGTATGATCATAACGGACATGCATTCACATGCGCACGGGTACAATGCTAAAATTTGAATATAATTGGTATCCTTCTGAGAAAACGTTGTTAAAGTCAAAATGCACAGAGTTTGTCTTATTAAATGAAGCTTACAGGGAATATGGCACCAAAAAGGAGTTGGGGAGCGTTTGGGGAACATCTGTAACGGTCCCCGTTACAATTAGCACTAGTTACTTTTTAGGTCGCCTGAGCCGAAGCATCGAGTAAGCTTTTCTGATTGAAAATTGTTCGCTGTCTGTTGTTGTCGTCGTTGTAAACTTTTTCAAATTTTCATCTTCTTCTAAAGAACCACTGGGCCAATTTCGAACAAACTTTACTGTGGGTAATTAAAGGAAATACAAATTTTTTCAAAGGAAGGGTCTTCAAATGGGAAATAATTGAGTATTCGTGAAAAAATTATTCATCTGTTTAAAATTCTTCTCTAGAACCACCGTGCTAAAAAAATATGAAACTATGTGGAAACATCCTCAGATAGTGTAGATTCATGTTTGTTTAAAACTTGACCCCTGGGATAGGGTTTGTCAACAGTGGGCGATGAGAATGTTACATAGGAATACATAGGGAACATCATAAAAAATCTTCACAAGGACAGCAAAACCATGGTTAGTCATAATTAAAGGGTATTATGGGACCACAACGAAAGTTAGTAAAAATTCAATTTTGGTCAAATCTTACCCCCTTCCTTTTAGGGATAGGTCCTGTCAACTTAAGCATTTAAGTTTTTCAATACTGTACTGATTTTTGCTTTTTACCTAACCACAGTGTTCAGATGAGCTATGTGGCCCCTGGGTATCTTGTATTTTTCGTTGTCAAGTATTAACTGAAGTAAAACTATTCCAGTGACGGGGCTAAACGTTGCGGTCCATTCTTTGTCGCCTATAATGTGATAGAGCAGTTTATCCTCGACAAGGAAATCGATATTTTTACAGCAACACGACTGATACAAATTCGAAGACCGGAATTTATTTCCACTCCTGTAAGTTTCCCTTATTTGATAATCTTGACTTAATATTTAAAGTGTCTAAAATTTTAAATTCAATTGTCTATTGTCATTCATTTTCATTCCACTAGTTAGTGCTATCTGACTTTTCGTTGCAAAGGACAATCAAATTATGTCGCTGTTGGTTTGATGTCTATTTGTAGAGAGGACCGTGTTTATTAAGTGTTAAACACTGAATTGTCGACGATAACTTTGACCTGTCGGCAGGGGATGCTCACTCCCCTATTGTTCCTGATCCTATATCTGATGTTTTAGAAGTTCTTGTTTGCATTTATACCGCGGTATTTCATTCAATGCGTTCCCTCGCTATGCCGGTCTTCCTATATGCCTGTGAGACATTGACTCTCACTGCTGAGATTGACAAAGGGATTATGAGCACCGAGATGAGATGCTATAGGAGGATACTAGGCATCAATTACTCGGACCATGTCACCAATGCAGAGGTCTGCAGGACAGTCAAAGAAGCTATAGGACCTCACGATGACCTCTCACTGTTGTCAAGAAGCGCAAACTAAGATGGTTTGGCCATGTTTCACGCTCAAGTGGCCTTGCAAAGACTATCCCGCAAGGCACAGTGAAAGGAGGACGAAGACGGGGAAGGCAAAAGAAGAGGTGGGATGACAACATCCCTGAGTTGACTGGACTGAGCGACAAAAAACAGAGATTTATGAATTAACGTGGTGGATAAGTCTTCAAAGGTGCCCCACCGACATCCATGGAAGTCAAGGGATAGGCAGCAGGCAGGCAGCAGCTTGTTAAAAGCTACATACCGAAATGTTACCTAAAAGCTGAGTGCCATGTACATGTACTTGTTGACTTGCAGTCATGTCAAAAACTTTGATAGAAAAATTTGCTGACGTTGTATGCAGTTTTACTTTCTATTTGGAAAGTTTTTTATTCATATAGAGTTATCACTGTTTATTGGTCAAGAATGCCGATTTGAAACTATATATGACACTCAAGGACTTTGAGCAGTTAGAGTTCTTTATCGAGTAAAGACCTATCGTGGCTGGAAGTTTTAAAATCACACCCCGATAGGATCAATAATTACAATGTATAATTATTGTTTTGTTCCTTTATAATGATCAACATAATTGTTTGTTATTGGGGTTAATTACTTATAAAATTTATTATCTTATTTTTTTAGGAGGAATACCAGTTCTGTCATGATCTTGTAGCAGAATACCTACAGGCTGATACGATATATGACAACTTAAACTCTAAACATTAAGAGCCAGAAGACCACATACGACATAAAGAACATCATTTTGTTGAAGTTCTGTATCACATTTGTAAGATATTTGGAAAACATACACAATTAATGTAAAAATATTATAAAGAATAGATCGACATTAAATATATTTCAATTTTATTGACCTCCTAGGTAAATTGTAAAAACTACTAATCTATTTAATCTGATTGCAATATTTCTATGGTATCTACATGTATCTGTGTTAACTGTTTCTTCAAATCTTTGGTAATATATTACCCTTTACCTTGTACATGTTGTCAACAGAACGTATGTTCAAATGTTTTCTTCTTTGATTATATCCATTACCTTTCCACTCTGAAAACATAATTTTTTGGAAAATGTCCTTAATTTACAAAGATATTCAAAGTAATAAGTATTATGGACAATTTGTCCTCGATAATTAATAAGAAATAATATATTTAAGTTTGATTTTCAATTACTCTTTTTTTAGTTTCATATTCTTTAGCATTAGCACTAAAGTACATGTGCAGATTTTTACAAGTTGAACGAATTCTTGTGTCCCAATAAACGAAGACTCGATATATGTATGTTTTTGCCCTGTATGTCTAGGGCTTAATTTGTCTGCAAAAACAAAACTTGCCAATAACTTCCAGCTGAAATTATGGGTAACATATTTCATGCACCTAAGAATTCCTTTTTAACAAAATATTTCTTTGGTACCAATACATTTGACCTCTAGTAGTTTGACCAACTTTTGCAAAATTATACTTTCAGATTGACCTAACATTTGAACAGTTGGAGATGGGCTTTTATACTTTATTAGTATATTTCTCAACGTAGATATTTTCCTCTGGTATTGATAATTTTGAAGTACATGTATTGATATTTACCTTGCATTTTAACATACTTTAAAATATGAGTTTGGTCGTATTTTGGAAATGTGTAGGGGCTTTTGAATTTCAGAGGTGTATTTGGTGTGACAAAACCGGTCAATAATCTTGACATTCGTTTTTAAGTTTGACCTACTTTAAAATCTTTAAACAAGGCCAAATATTTCTACAGGTAGTGCCTGAGATTTTATATTTCACACGTGTATTCCTTTTAAAAAGACTTCTTTTTTTTAACAATTTTGACCTTCCACCCTGTTTTTTCTTATGACGTTGAAATTTATCTTGCAATTGATAAACTTTAACCTTCAGTCTTGAGCTTCTATATGGTGACATCAGTGTTTCATTCACACAACTTGTTATATCTTGTTAAAAGGAGATAACTTTTATAGTTTTTCTTCAAATTAAGAAATTAATTATCCTTTAGTATATCCTATATTATAATTGTATTATACTTAATATGTATTTTCTGCTTTTGTAATGTTAATTCGTTGTAAAATTAATGAAATATATGGAGATGTATAATTAAATCAAATTAAATTAGTTTTAATCAATAGCATTTTTCTGATAATAAAGATGGATTTTATGTTGTTTACATCCCATTCTAGAATTTTCACGCAGGTAGAGAGGTCAAGATGCCGTTAAACAGTGTGGTAAAAATAGCTTGAAAAGCTGACTTATAATTTTTTTTTCTTATGTCATACTTTCGTGTTAAAATTATTTTTTTCAATTTTTGATATCTGTTTTTCCCAAAAGTGTCAATACCCTGCTGAGTGCCCAAAACATGGCCTTTAAGGTAACAACAGTTGAAAAAGCAAGACAATAAAAAAGTGTAAATTTGTTATTTGGGAGAATGAACAAAATAACTATACCACGATTTTTAAAGGACAATGCAAACTTGTTTGCTCTCGGTCAGCGATGGTTTTCCTAAACTTTCATTTGTTTCAGAGGAAAAATAGAATTACATTTTGTACGGAATTAATTGATTTGATTCCTCAAATCTTTCATTTTATATATATATATATATATATATATATATATATATAAAAGAATATATACAAAAATCATACGATGACAAAGGCGTATCTCTCCAGGATCCTATTTTCTTTAAATTTTTGCCTTTTGAACAATCTTACTTTCCTCTTTAACCTCATAACAATGCAAATCTTGCTGACCCAATCACTAGGCAGGATGTGTATTGATGCGGAACATAAATTATTTTTTGTTTTCAAATTGGTTTAGCTATATCTGTGTGAATTTTTAATTTTCTAAACTTTCAAATTTATTTTTTTATTATTAATACAATATGTGCTTTTTAATCTGATTTTACGGATTAAATGTAGTGTTTAATTTAGTTAGCTTTCATATGATGTTTATTTATTTATTTTTATTTTATAATATCTACTTATTTTTATTTTTGTTCCTCTTAATGCAATCATTTTGCTTTTCAAGTTTGTTTGTTTTTTTTCTCTCATTATTTTTTTAAAATGATAAATTCTTAAAATTTGTTTAATTCTTAAAAAGTTGTTTTATCTGCCATGTGTCTGTGTTAACTCTATGTTTCTTGTTATACAATGTATAAAGTGCTGACTTTAAATAAAATTTACTTACTTACTTAATAAATTTTACTCCATTTCATGTAATATGTATTTTATTCATTTCTTTATTTTTTGCAACTTGTCAGAATTTCACGTTTCATTGTCAGATCATTAATGTTGACTTGTTAGACACAAATATCGACTTCACAAAAATATGTTGTCAACTCCTGGTCTTAACTCGGCAAGGAAATATTTTCATGTATTCTTAGAACGTGAATATGTGACAAGGATTGATTGTACGTATATTGTTTAATGTCCCTCTCGAAAATTTTCACTAATATGGAGTCGCCACCATTTGCCGGAGGAGAGCTGCAAATTTTGTCCTATACTCGGCACTCACGGCCGTTGAGCAGGGATGGATCTTTTTCTTGCCAGCACGTACTGCGACACGGGACCTCGTTTTATACGGTCTCATCCGAAGGACAGGTCTCCCACGTCCCACAGTGGGATTCGAACCCGCGACGTAAGGATCAACTCCTTACTTCGCGACTCTAAAGCAGACGCTCTAACCCCTGCTCCACGCGGGCGACTATGTGACAAGGAATCAAAAGGATCAGACAACTTGACATACTATATGAGCAGAATTTTTAGCGAGGATTTAATTTTGGCACAATTAGCAAGGATTTTGAGATCGTAAAAATTTATTATAGCTTAAAATTGATTGCGTTTGTTTCAAATGCTTCTTGAGTGAAATTGCATTTAAAAATCGCTAAAATTACATCTCGCCAAAATTGAAATACCAATGTTTAAGAAAAACTTGCTTAAATTTCCAGTTATAATCAAGGCAAAAATCAGACTCCTTTGCCTACCTTTGTATTTCCCAGATTCAAGCATTAATGCTGTATAAACACAACTATTAATGGAAGGAGAAAAACATCTTCTACTTGTCAAAACCATCGCAAAAATTTGCTACATAAACAATAATTGTTGGCGAAAAAGCTATTCATGAACAAAAGACAGTCATTTTAATCCTTTTCATTTTTGTGAAAGAAATCTGCCAAGGCACATCTTTGTTTTAAAATAAAAATAAAGAAATTGCTTAAAAATATTTGTTTCAAATGAAAATCTTTTATGTGCAAAGGGAAACAACCAGCAGTTGTGATATTAAAGGACAATGGTCCATACTTGTATGGATATATGTATATCTTAATCTATAAATTAGAAAACTAACGTTTTAATTCAGTTAAGGTAGGATATAACGAAATTTTCTGAACATACATTTCTGAAGTAAACTTTACGACTATAATTAATTTGCAAACGGAAATAAATTACAGAAACATTCGACCATCATTACATATTATCCATTTGTATTCTCTCTGATCAATACATGTGAAAATATAGTGATCCGATGTTTACCTTTGTGATCTTTTCAACATTTATCTTTAATTCTATATTTGTCGATAAAAAACAAAAGAAGTAATAATAAGTGCTAAGGCAAAAATTTTATTTTTATGAAATTATATCTTGACTTTACAAAAAAAAATAAACAAAATAAAGAAAAGAATTTAGTAAACAATTGCATATAAAATAGATTCAAGCAATAAGTACTTACATAGATAAACAACGATTAATGGATTACATGTTTTTTACGTCTCATTGTATATACAACTAAACAGAAATGGGGAAAACTGGCCTAAGAAGAATTCGATTTAAATCTATAAACAAAATTTTTCAATGATCCCAAAAACCATAATTTTCTCCAGAAACTTTTTATTCAAAGCATTTTGAAACAATTTTTATGTTCAAGATGTTTTAGAACATAGAACTTTTTCATATGCGACCAAAGGATCACTTCATTATAAATAGGGATTTGACCTATAGGAACGGGCTTGGTTTTTTTCTCTACAAAAACCTTGTCGATTTCCGTTCTGATTAATGGCATTAGGCTGAATACATATAACAATTTGTTTTTCCTAAATCTTTTTTTTTTCAGCTAGTAGAGGTGTGAGGAACCCTTTCGTTGATTTCCTCAGTTTGTTATCTCAAAATGTAATAATTGATATTTGTCATAACTTCTCAAGAAGCATAACAACGCATAATGGTAATGTTTACTGCCTCTGAAATTCTATTCTTTATGTTTAGGCAATTTTATCCGTGAATGTAGTAAAACATTCCATTAATGTGTGCAAATTATATAGGCCTAAATCAAATCCGAGGAGAGCAGTTACTGATATGTATGTACATGTAGCCAAAATCAATGTTATTAAATCCTAAGGAATATATACAATTGACATTCATCGCAGCTCAATGCTGCCAACACACAGAGTGAGAAAGTATGCTTACACTGAGGTTTGTTCCGCCTGACTGCTGACAACTGTACATTGGATTTTTACGATTTGATATCTCTCTAGTGTTTCTTATATCAAGAATGGGCATGCCTAAAGGATAGATAATTGAAGGGAAAATACACAAGGCCATAAAAAATATTAAAATA